GGAAGGCCGGGTTGCAAATTTTCGGAGCCTATAGGGTTTCCGCATCATGGATGAATGTGAGAAAAGAAGTTAGTCTTTGAAACTAAAATTAGGATAAGAACTTCAAATATAGGTTCTCTTATGGGCAAATTAATAGAATTAATAAATATTATGATTCAAAGGAAGATAAATATTTTATGCATTCAAGAAACTATATAGGATGGAGAGAAGGCTACAATGTTGGTAGTTTAGCATTTAAATTATAGTGTTAGGTAGGAGCCATGTTAGAAATGATATATGCATGATTATAGATAAGAGTTTGAATGATGATATTATAAAAATTAATAGAATTGTAGATAGAATTATATCTTCAAAGATTATTGTATGCTAAAATTATTAATATTATAAGTATTAATGCTCCTCAAGTAGGTTTTGATATGTGTTCAAAATTAAAATTTAACAATGACTTTGAAGAAATAATACAAAAGGATACCTCTTAAAAAACAAGTTTTTATTGGAGATTAAAAAAAATAAAAATAAAATAAAAAAATAAAAAAATAAAAATAATAATAAAAAAAACATTTTGATAGAGTGGTAAAAGATTTTAAAATCATTCGTGTTGGCTATGAGTTTAAAGTGACTAATGTAGGTGGTAGGACTATATTAGATTTTGCTTTAGTTTATGATTTTGTAATTATTAATACCTTATTTAAGGAAAATAGAGTAGCTTTTTATCACTTATATGTATAGATTTTGGAAATCCCAGATTAATTATTTTTTTATGAGAAAAATAAATCGTTTAGATTGCAAGTATTATAAAGCTATTACGAATGAAAGTTCATATTTCTAGTATCGCTTAGTATTTTTGAACTTTAAGATGAATGATAGAATATAAAAAAAAGTAAGATGTTATTTTAGGTTTAGCTGAAGACATTTATAGAATACTAACAAAAATATTTGTAGAAATAAGATTCAATATCTTATGATTTTGATTGTGTATGAGGAACATAATATTATGTGGGAATTGGAGCTAGTGATATTAAGAATGTTATAAAGTATTGGTTCGGAGTTTTAAGAGAAAAAACTCATAGTAGTAAAAATAGTTAGTGTTGAGATTAAAATATACAAGAAAAGATAAAAAAATGAATTAGATGTAAAAATTCAAAAAATTGGGAAAAATATAAAGAGGCTTATAAGGAGTCAAAGAAAGCGATATGTGATGCTAAGAATTAAGTTTTTAATAATTTATATAATAGATTAGATACTAAGATGAACGAAAGATTTATGTTTAAATTAGTCAAACAAATACATAGTAGAAGTAAGGATTTAGTTCATATGAAGTAGTAATCTTTGCAGCCTAAATTAAAATAAAGATTTTTTTATCATTATATTAATAAAATTGAAGTTAGACTTAAAAAAAAAGTTTGAAAAAGCTGTTGGACGTGATAATATTCCAATATAGATATAGAAATCCGTAGGAGATGTATGAATTTCTTGGCTTACGAAATGTTTTAATATTTTTTGAAAATTAAAAAGATATTAGATGAGTGAAGGACGAGTGTGTATGTTCCCATTTTTAAGAATAAAGGTGCTGCACAAGTTTTTGTGAATTATAGAGGAATTAAATTAATGTGTCATACATTCAAACTGTGGGAGAGAGTTATTGAGCATAGTTTATGACATGATACTAATATTTCTCTAAATTAATTTGGATTCATGTCGGGTAGGTCTACTATGGAAGCTATAAGTTTATTGAGAGATTTTTGAGAAATATTGGTAGAATAAGGAGGATACATATATTATATATATTGATTTAATGACATCATGCGATAAAGTTCCAAGAGAAGTGCTATGGAGAGCTTTGTAAAAGAAAGGAGCTAATAATGCTTATATTCAAGTCATTAAGGATATATATGTAGGAGCTGCTGCTTGTGTTCAAGCACAAGATAGTTTGACCATGTATTTTCCCATTTCAGTTGAATTATATCAAGGATCAGCTTTAAGCCGATATCTTTTTATTTTAGATATGGATTTTCTAATTAGACATTTCCAAGAGGATATACCCTACTATATGCCTTTTGCTGATGATTTTCTTCTTGTTGATAGGACTAGAGCAATTTAAGGAAAACTTGAATTATAGAGGTCAATCTTAGAGTCTAAATGTTTTCTATTTGAGTAGATCTAAAACCAAATACATGGAGTATAATTTTAGTGTAATTGATATGGTGGGTGGGGAGGTATTGTGATTTTGGGCGATCAAGTCATCATAAAGAGTACACTTTTTAGGTATCTTATGTCTATTGTTCAAAGAGATGGTGAAATAGATTAGGATATTATTAGTAGCATTCAAATTGGATCGTTGAAGTGGAGAAATGCATTGGGCCTATTATGTAACAAAAAGTACCCCCAAACTTAAGGAAAATATCTTTAAAATGGTTGTGAGACTTATAATGTTTTATGACGTAGAATGTTGGCCATTAAAAGAGAAGCATAGAATTAAGTTAAGTGTTGTAGAGATGACAATGCTTGGGTGGATGAGTGGTTTCACTTGTAGAGACAGATTGTGAAATGAGTATATATGGGAAAAGGTTGGGGTGGCTCCACTGGCAGATAAAGTTAGAGAGGGTTGCCTTAATGGTTTAGTCATATAAAACATTGGCTTTCCTATGACTCTATTAGGATAGGTAATATATAAGATTTTACATATATTAATAAAGGTAGAGGTATACCTAATAATACTTATACTTTCTAGAAAGTATTAGAAATGATCTTTTTTATTAGATTTTAATTGAGAATTTGACTCTTAACAAGGCAATGGAGAAAAATAATCTATGTAGCCGACTTCATATAGTGGGATTAAGGATTGATGTTGTTGTTGTACACAACAAGAATTAGGTAGCACACTCCCTCACACTTACGAGCACCAATGCTTCGTAACAGAAAGGATACTGGAGTTCGTTTTACTTGTGAGGTACTTAATCCTTATGTGTGGGTAGGTGCATGTTTGTATGTTTGAAGTTTGTTTTATTTGGGTTTCAAGGTACTTAATAATTTCTCCATGATAAAAAAAAAACGAAGTAGAAGTGTTACTTTCCTAATATACAACAAGAAATGTTTTCTTTTAAGTGACTTCTCCAACTTTTTTTTTTGGGAGGTAATGTCACTTCCTTACACTTCCAGGCATTAATGCCTAGGACGGTATGCTGGAGGTAGGTGTGCATGAATAGGTAAGGAATCTGTTAGCCTTAATCTAAAAATTAAATGGATGCCATGCATTATAAGATTTTTTATTTCTCTTCCATCAATGATTCCCTTGGTTCTTTGATCTCTCTTCCATAACTTGCGCAACATGCTCCATATTCCTTGCATTTTAGAAATAAGATCCATGAAGTCTTCAAACATAAATATCTCTATCTATTCATCTTTCCTAAAAAGATTTTATGTAATTAACTGTTTAATGTAATATGTATAGTGTAATCGTATTCATATTATGGATACTCTTAAACAACGCACGGGGTCCTAACTCAAATAATGGAGAGAGAGAGACATCCTTGAGTGATAGATGAAAACTAACAATAACCAAGCAACCACAAAAATGTAAATAATTTAATGTGACTTTCGGTCTTTGTGAGACGTGGTTAATGTTTTTGTAAAAACTTTGTCATATTTAAATTCACCGTTCTTGTTGTTTGGAAATAGTACGAACCAATGTGAGAATATGAAGCATTGTGTTAGAACTCAATTCTTTGATCCCTTATTTTTAAGTTTTTGTCAATGTGCAATGCTATATGAATGACTAGGCACAAGAAAATTATATAGTCATGCTTAAAAGGTGTTTATCATAAAATAAATGTTTAGATAGTTTAAGGATGTCAAAGAATACTAAGAATCGTTGTTAAGTTTCAAGTAAATGAGAAGAACATTGAGACGTACTTGCTATTTTGATTATTACTTGCTATTTTCGTTATTTCTTTGATTAGGCAAATATATTTTCCTTATGCTTGTTCTTTGAGCATTCATTTGTATATTTGCCATAGGTACTGGTACTATATTTATCTTCAAAAAATATTTTTTGCTCTTCATCTGCATATATTTCTTGCTACAAAATATGCAATGCTTACAACTCTTTTTGTTGCCTTCTTTTATAAAAAAATTGCATAGCTCTGCAAATGAATCGAATTTTTAAATTTATTCAAGTTTACTTATGAATTATTTTATCAAATTTCAGCTATAATTGAGTTTTAATAAAGCTTAATTAATTACACGTAGAATGTTAATAATTAATTAAATATTCTTATTAATAACAATAAATATTCATAACTTAATCAAAATTTATAATAATTTAATCAATATTATTTCTAATATTTTATGAATGATAAAATAATAATTTAATATAGCAATATCTTTAATATTTTTTGTTATATATAAATTTAATATTTAAATTAGCATATGAATATGTCAATTTAGTATTTGTTAAATAATTATATTATTAAATGTTAATAAATATTAAATTATATTTTGATTCTATCATCTTAATTATGTACTCAATATTTTCATCATATTTATATTTGTCATATAAATGACTTTGGAAGCCTATAGAATATGTTAAAGTTGGTATGCTAACACAATAAGTTATAAAAATACTTAAATCTTCATTAAACATGTATATTATCGAATTATTTGTTAAATAACAGAGAAAGTCATCTCTAACGGCTATTTCTTTTGTATGTTTAGTATTAAAAATCTTATTGAAATTTATTCAATTATCTAAATAAATGAGTATAACGACTTTTTATGAATGAGTATTATGTTGTTCATTGAGTGTATTAGTTTACTTTAGTTTTATGCATATTTTTTAATATTACTCGACACTCATTTTATTGCAAATATATTTACATTGTTATTTTCAGCATGAACTGCTGATTAATTTCATCTTCTGATAAACTATATTACTTTCATCCATCAAAGAAAAATACTCGATGATGAATCTAATGAAATAAAATTTTTATTTTCTTGTTCAGGTTGATTGAGCTTTTGATGTTGGAACTGGGCATGCATGGCAGCAGTTATTTTATCATTGGAAAAGCTATTATCAATTGCTTTGTTACGCTTAAACTGCTTAATAATTTCACTTTCAAGTGACAATTTTACTTTTCTAAATACCCAACTATGGACTTTTATGTAATTTGTCTAAATGATATTGTCATGTTTAATCTGTAATTTACAATGCGATGTTGCCTTTGAATGAGCAATGCATTTGAAGTTTGATGATGGGCATGCTTGGGCTACGATTTGAACACATGGCCAATTTTTCTTTCATTTAAACTTGAGATCAAGCTCAAGCACTAGGTTGACCTTCTCGAGCCCGACTGATTGTGTGTTGAGTTCCATATTTGTAATGAGCGGAGTTAGTTATTAAAAATTTTCATTTTATTAAAAAATGTCCTTAATTATTATAGGAATGTGTATATTTTCTATACAAACCTCCCCCAACTTACCATTGATTTCCTCCATATTTACTAGCCATGTCACTTCCATAAAACTATAAAAAAAAATCCTCATTTTTTATTGAAAGAGAACCCATGGGGAGGATTAGAAGAGAAATGAGGGGAAGCAAGGAAAAGAAGGAAGAGAGTGAAATTAGAGTTCTCTTACCACCAGACTCCTACTCAACCATCGTCGGACCATCGATCATTGCTATACTATCTCTGAAATTCTGTATGTCCACCAATTGATGTTGGACCTCCATTCAGCTTCCAATTATTATTGGACATACACCTTATCTTTTATTTGATTTTGTATTGAATCTTTATACATAGTTAAGATGTTAAACTTTATATTTCTATACAACCATGAATATTTTAGGACGCAAAAGTTTGACTCCGTATGTGGGAACATCGTTCTTAACTAGAGGTAACTATTGCTCCAATATCAAAACATCGTTCAGGTCAATGCCCTGACATCAATTATTGCTGCAATTGCAGCCTTAGTCAAGGAGATTCCTCCAACGCTTCTAACATCCAAGATGATATCTTGGAAAATTATTTTACATAAAGCTTTTAACAAATGCAATGATGCTTTTAATACATTATAAGCTTTTTATAGTTTCTATTTAGACTTCTACTCCTTGGACAAGGTTTTAATTTCGTACTCGAAAAGATAATAACTATCTAAAGTAGACTTTCATTCACCTTTGATTCGGAACACACACAACATTCGTTCCCGCTTAATTAAGGCATTATCGATCCCATGGGGATTTGAATTGATGTCTTCCACACATATTAATGTCATTGAGCAATGCTCTAACAAACAACCTCAAATAGGTCAAAATCATAGGAGGATTTCAATTAAATCTTAAATCTTTTATTTGATAAATACACAATCTTTATTGTGTCTCAATCACTGGATGATCAATCTCATATGTATTTTATCCGAACTCTTCCACAGATTAATATAATCAAGTAATGCTCTAACAAACAACCTCTGATCGGTCAAATATCTTAAGAGGATGCTAATCAAGTCTTAGAATCCTTAATTCAAGAAATACAAAATCATTATTGTGTCTCAATCACTGGATGATCAATCCCAAGTGAGTTTGACCCAACCTCTTCCGCCCAGGTTAACATTATCGAGTAGCGCTCTAACATACAACCACAGATAGGTTAAACATCATATGAGTATTCCAATCAAATCATAAAATTATTGATTCAAGAAATACATAATCTTTATTGTGTCTCAATCACTAGATTATCAATCACCGGAGGATTCGATCCGATCTCTTCTACACAAGTTAATGTCATCGAGAAATGCTCTAACAAATACCTCGGATAGGTTATATATCCTTGGTGAATTCTCTCGACCTCTTTCACATAGGTTAACATTGTCTAGTAATGCTCTGACAAATAACCCCAAAAGGCTCACCTATGAGGTAGCCTCTAAGGAAAGAAAGTAGTGGACAAGATCCTCACTAGAAATACTCCATGAGAGCAAGTGATTGACCTGGTCATCACCTATTTAAAGACCTTGCTAGGCTAAAAGATACATGTGTACAAAGATCTAAGTAGGCTAAAAAGCCTAAAAAAGCATAGGGGCAATATATTAAAGCATATATCAAAGATGCATAAACACCTTAGTTTCCTCTGGAAGATAAGTTCATTTTAAAGGAAAAAAAAAAGCATCAAGCTCATACAAATTCATATAAAATATTATTGGAGTTACATAACAAAATCCTATATTAGGTTTAAGTGTGCTTTCATTTTCATAAGAAGTTAAATCAAAATTACTTTAACATTATCCGTACTAGTTAATGTCATGAAGCAATGAATAACTTAAAGAAAAGGTTAGATATCCTTGGTGGATTTATTGACCTATTCTCTACTTTATATTAAAGTGTCTCTTGCAACTTCTTCTTTAAAGAAAGATTATAACCTGATCATCATCAGGCCTCCTCTCAATTGACAATATTAGTGTGTAGCTAGATTACTGATAGGGCACATTGCTTTGAACTCTTCCATCAGGAATGTTTGAAGTCCACACATATCCGTATGAATGTACATTGCCTTTAGCAAAATTCAACTTTACCATGACCATCATCGACCCTTTTCCTGATGTACGATGTCAGTCCTTCACTTCATATTAGCCATCATCATCTTTTTGCTCATATACTATTAGCAGCACACCCTTCAACTATCTCCTTCAGCTCTCCACTCGATCATAGATTGTCATTGGACTTCAACCTAATTGTCAATTGCAGTCGGACTTCTACTCAAAGAACATCAAAACTTTGTCCGTCCACTTACAATCATTAGTTCTCCTCCCGTGTACTATTACCATAAGATTTTCTCAGATCACCCTCGCATGCAAGAAATAGTTGATCTTCTTATGTCAAGGGTTGCCTATTGAGAGAATCTCTCATTGTGACTTCTTCTACATAAAAAAGAGGCACAACAGAATGCCTCTAATGTAAGAATAAAGTTAAAAGAGAGAAGGAGAAGATTATTTTTTCCCTTGCCTCATGAGTTTATTTTTTGATGGAAAAGGAGGGAAGGAATATTATGCATGAATTAGAATATTCTAAAAAGATTCCAAAAATATTTCAGGAATAAGATTATTCTAAAAATATTCAAAGAATATTTCAAAGGATATTCATAATAAAAAGGAAAAAAAGGTGAGAAAAAATCCTCCCTAAAAAAATAAATCTCTCTAGAGAGAGAAAAATTCTCCCTAAAAAAATAAATCTCTCTAGAGAGAGAGAGAGAGAGAGAGAGAGAGAGAGAGAGAGAGAGAGAGAGAGAGAAATGGCTTAGGTCCCTAAAAAAAGGAGATGTTATTTTAGCTGCCCCTAAAGAGGCGGTTAAGAGCCACCTCAGGCAGCTCGACTAAAAAAAATGAAGAAAGGATGGGTGTTGTGTTCGCCCCATGAGGCACACGTTTGCCCGCGTTGAACTACCAGTGACTACAGCCGGCAGTCAGCCGGTTGGCTGGCCAGTTTGGCCGTTCATAAGCCTCTGGGCCAAGTTTTTGCCTCGAATAGTCCAAATCGAATGTTTTTGAGGGCCCCAGAATCATTTTTGGGCATTTTAGATCCAATTTTGACACTTTCGTAGCTCTAAGAAACTTCTATAATCAATTTTGGGTACTTTCAAATATTTTGAAGTATAATGTTTCAACTTTTTTTGCTCCAATCAAGGCGCCAACTTAAGAACATGCTCAATTTATAATTAAGGGTATTCTACTTGTTCACAGCTCAAAGGGGAGGTCCACGTTGATGTCCAGAGAGGGGTTATGCCTTGTAATTTCCCAAAACTTATAACTTTACAATTCAAACAATTTGAAATGTTATGACACGTATTTTTGGACTCTATAAGTTTTGATGTCTGAATGTAGGGGGCAACTATTATATCATCTAAAATTTATCTTGAACGGGCATGAATCTCGAGGCAAAATTGAGTTGGAAACTTCAAAAATTAAATTTGGAATCAAATACACTCTGATTTGAGCAAACTTATAATCAAATTGAACGTCTTGAAAAGATGAACTGAATGACACCAAATTCGACTCAATTCAATCCCAAATGTGTCCAGATTGAAGACTCAAAACATCTTTGGAAGGTTCATGTAATGCCCTTAAAATGACCAAAATAATGTAAGTATTAATTTTCTCAGAATATTAGCTTATTTTATTATAAGTTTATATAGACGTAAATTTATTTAATAGATTAATCAATTTAGTTAATTAACAATTAACTTGGTAGTGGATAATACTTAGCGTACCATTTATTTAATATATATTCGACTGTAGCTATTTCACTAATCTGAGCATGTAAGGGATTGATTTTGGCATGCTACAATCTGACGGCTAAGGGTGAGTTTGGTGGACTAAGTGGAAAAAGCATTGAGTATAAAACAAGTTTTAGTTCACTTCTCATTCCCAATTTTTTATACCACACATAAGTTTATATGGAGTTCGCTAAGCTATTGTGAGCGGGTGCTAGAGGATTCGTGAAGGCTCAGTTGGGAGGATAAAGTCCAGGTAAAACAATCTCTAGTTACTAAAATAAACTTTTGTTGAAATCTATGGTTAAAAAAAAGATGGAATTTAGTAATGTTTGCTGAAATCAGTTGGTGGTAGCTGAGTTCATTGTGGTAGATTGCTGGACATAGGAAAAGAAAGAAAATGACTACCATTGAATGAAGAGGAACTTGAAATTGTTTTTAAGAGGAAATGAAGACAAAATCTAGGAGAACAAATTTCTAACGAGGTGAGATTCCAAAACAAGGTTATAAGGATTAGTAAATATTTTATTATTTCACTTCATCTTGATTATGCTTATGACCCTATGTATTTCAATTTATTTTAGTTATTTTGTATGAACATGGTCGAATATGTATGGAATTGTTTATGTAGGGAGAAATCTTTATTAATGTTAATGATTTCGTAAGTCTAAAAGGGTAAATATTCATAAAAACAAAATTAATAAGTTAAAGTGTACCTAAAGAGCAGCTAAAGTGCAACTAAAGGGCAACTAAAGGACAGCTAAAGGGCACCTAAAGGGCAGCTAAAGGGCACCTAAAGGGCACCTAAAGGGCACCTAAAGGGCACATAAAGGGCAACTAAAGGGTAGTTAAAAGGCATATAAAGGGCAGCTGAAGAGCAGCTAAAGCATAACCATGTCATCAAAATCATATGTCATTAGGGCTAAAAATGATGATTATATGAAAAGTGAAATAAGTTTTATATGGGGAATAGGCCTGCACAAATAAAGACAGAAG